CACCATACAGATGTTTTGGGAGGTTTTTGATGAACTGACTGAGACCCAGAAGAAAGCTTTCCTTTGTAAGTATTTGATTTGATTTGATCATAAAAACTAGTTAAATTTTAACATGTAAATGGAAGCTACGTTACTAATCTGCTTTATTAGCAGGAATTTACCATTTTAAATTTGCAACATTGCTTCATCACCGTGACTACTCAAGTTTTGATCACTCAGGAATGTTTTGACATTTGCTAATCGATGCAGTGAACATGTGGTAGGAAACATCAGTTGCACAGCAGCTGAGGTTGTGGATAAAGCACCCCAACATGCAGAAAAGTAAACAAAAACTCACGACATTCATCGATTTCCGCTTTTTTCCTCTTCTAGGGTTTGTGACAGGATTTGACCGGGTGCCTATTCTCGGTATGGACAAAATCAAGATGCAAGTCAAAGTTAAAGAAGTCGAGGACCTCTCCTATGACCAGTACTATCCTGAGACACACACATGCTTCTCGACCTTGGAGCTGCCGTTATACTCAGCTAAGGAGATCATGCAAACCAAACTCACAGAGGCCCTGAGCAACAATAAGAGGATCCATAAGTGATCAGCATTATACGCCAGTTTTTTACTGTATTGAACAGTAAAATTGTTGACCAAGTCTAGCGTTTGCAGTTACTGAAACATACTTACTGTTACTGTCATGATCCTGCGTCTTCTACCCAGCGTTTTGGACTTTTGGTTTATTTAATAGTCTGAGGTTGAGATCTTTGCCTCCTTCTTGGGTGTGTATATATTGTTTGTGTCTCCCTCTGTGCAGCGTCATGATCTCGTCCATTCTCGGGCTGTGTGTTCTGCCTGCTAGTTTAGTTTCTAGAACATAAAAAAAATTATGATGATGACTTGGCATCTATGCTTGTGTGTATATTTTGTTTTTTAAAGTGTAAATAGGTAATGTTAGATTATACAACTTGGAGAAAGTCTGTCAGTATTTCATAGTTTTCCCCCTAAATGTTACAGCTCAGAAAATACACAAAATAACTGCACTCACTAAATCATAATCAGCCACACTTATACAATGTTGCCAGTGTTGCCAATGTTAACATATGTAACATATAACATATGTAAGTAAAGATTTGCAACATTTTATGAAAAACTTTGCACTGTGTAAAAAAGAATGTTAGTTTTCAACATAAACTACACTGTTCTGTTTTCCAGATGTGGATTTACTATTAAAGTTTTACTTGGAGTTACCTGAAAAGTGACCCACTTTGCTCATTTCCTTCTCGATATTGTTATTACCCAATTTCCCTCGGGGTCAACCTTCAGGATCAATAAAGTTTTATTGAATTGAATTGAATAGGTGGGTGGAGTCTCCATCCTCAGCCACAGCTGTGTGCCCGAGATGATAATATTTGGAATACCTGGTCTCACTGACATCATACAGAGCCAAGAGTTTAAAGAAACAGTCTGGAACAGCGATTACTTGTACATATAATGACACCATTGTCTGAATCTTAGGTCATGTTCAATATGAGCATCCATCATTGTGATGGCATGTATGACAGAAAATAAGGAAAAGCACAAATGATATCTTGCGCACCTGGTATACTTAACAGTTAACAGCTTCACACATTTTCTTGTTATTTAGAGTAAAAGCCACACCTCCTTCAGAAAACACCAAATGCAGAGTAACTTCGTGACTCATGCGAATGACTTCCTCAGTATAGGTAAATATGTTGCTGTCATGCAAAATCTGCACACGTCAACTCCAGTTTCGTTTTTTGGTTTTCCAGCTAAGGTAATAAACCACGTGCCAGTGACTCACTAGGTGTGGTGTTTTTATTGTTTGTAAGTTTTGTTTTCCTTTTCTCACAGCTGACTTTGCTCGATAAACCAGTCAGGTTTCGTTTCATACTTCCACCTGAGTCATAAAAAGCAGCTGCTTGTACTGCAGAGTCATTTTAGCATCATGTTTTCATGGGGAGAGGACTGGCAGCAGGGCTTTCGCTTGAAAAGACCCTCAAATATTTCACCTGCTGATGGAGTACGCTCTTTAAACCTCAGCTTTCAAGTCACAGATCTTTCAGCAGGTCACAGACTGCTTGGCTTCATTAAAAGAAATGGGGATGCTTACATCATTCACACAGTTGAGAGCCAAGATGAGGGTAGAGTGAGAGGGAAACAGAGTGAGTATCAGCTTTATGTCTCTGTCTCAATTTCACTTCTCTGCCTGTGTTGATCCACTATGACCTGCTCTGTGTGTGTAAATCTGCAGAGATTGTGAAATGTGAAGAGAAGATTGAGGCTGTGAGTTGTGGTGAAGATGTGGTGAGGATTCTGTCTGAAAGTGGCATCGTTTTTTGTGTGGATCAAGCTCGCCCTCCTTTCAGTCCCAGGTGAGTCAAAGATTTGCAGCTTCAGTTTTTAAGGGATCGTCCTTCAATTTCCAGTTAAATTCACAATAACCTGCCGTTGTAATCACAGAAGAGTTTGATCACTTCTTGCGTGTGTTCTGTCAGCGCACCAGAAGCACTGCGCAACAAACAGGTGTCTCAGGTGACTTGTGGGAGCCAGCATACAGTCGTTTTGACAAAAGGTAGCGTGAAGTATGTAGTAAGCAATAACTGGCTTGTGAACCTGAATGAAAATGAATCCTTTTCACAGGTTTAGTGGATTTAGGGGTTTAATATGATAGAGAAGTATTATGTTGATTTTCCTCACAGATGGTCAGTTGTATACTTGGGGCCAGGGCTCCAGGGGGCAGCTGGGTCTGGGCACAAATGAGCAATACGTGAATTCACGCCAGCATGTCAGATCTTTGTCAGCGATCCCAGTGGTCCAGGTCGCTGCAGGTGGAGAGCAGAGCTTCGCCCTCTCTGTCTCTGGAGGAGTGTTTAGCTGGGGCAGAAACGACTGTGGACAGCTTGGACTGGGTGACACTCAAGGTACTACAATGAAAGTTGAAATCTCTCTCTCTCAGTATCTGTCAATATCGCACTGAAGTGTGGTTCCCAGAAGGAATCTGATGTATATGTACTCAAGGTGCAGGTATCAAAATAAGCATGCCATGCTCAGTATTTTGTTTTTCTCATAGACAGACATACACCGACTCCGGTTCATTACCTAAACATGAAGAAAACTGTTTCCATTTCCTGTGGGAAGGACCACACTGCTGCTCTGACAAAGGTGAGTCAACAACAGTTAACAGGCTCACATAAAATTTTACCAACAGAACAAGCAG